AGATTACATCTACTCAGATGACTCTCCTATGAATCTCTCACCAGTTTCTTCAGACTAACTGGCCTGTAATTTGCAGGCAGACTCTTGTCCCCATTTTCGAAGATGGGACATATGACAGCTTCCTTCCATTCGGGAAGTAATGTACAGCTGTCAAGCGACTTCTGAAACATGATAGCGAGCGGCCCACTTAGGTCCTCAGCCAACTGATGCAACAGTTTCGGATGAATTCAATCAGACCCAGAGGCCTTAGAAGGGTTCAGCCCTCGTAACAGCCTACGAACTTCTGTCTCCGCTACAATAAATTCAGATAGTCCTGAACCCTTTGGAATCCCGCAAACTAGCTCAACGCTTATCAAAGAGGTTTCTCTTACAAACGCTGCTGCATATTGCCCACTACGTACGCAAGTCTTGTCATAGTCCGTATGCGCATGAGTACCGTCATCACGCATCAACACTGGTATTGACCTGTTCGAACCGCAGCAGCTTTTGATATATGCGAAGAAGCTTTTTGAATTCTGTGAAGCTTCATCTGCTAACCCTTTCTCGAAATTGAGTCGAGCATTCCTTAGGTGTTGCTTACACCTAGTTCTATCCTTACGGTACCTGTCATAAGTATCGGTGGACGGAGCATCTCGATAAGTCCGCCAAGATTTAGACCTCATTGTGAGCAGATGACTGCCAGTGGAAGCTATCCAGGACGGTTGTGTTCGTGCCTCCTTTCTCCTTGTGACTGTGGTGAAAGGAGCAGAGGCCTCTGTTTGGTCGGACTTTAATTTATCCCAAGCAACCTGGTCAGTATCAACGCCTGGGATCTCACAAAGGAAGCCCGAAACCTTGGCTCTCATTGATTGATAGTTTGAGTGCCTTATGTTCGTTCGAGACTCAACAGTACTCTGGTAGCGTATAGACAGAGTACAACTGAAGAGCAAACAAACATGATTACTGGAACTCAATGGAAGTCCGTAAGTAATGTCACCAACAAAATCGAGTGACTTAGCAAATACATGGTCTAAGGTAGCAATACTTGGGCGTCCATGTACCTCGTGGGGACGTCTACGAACTGCTGCGACGTTACTTGGAGCGTTATCTCAAGTCGGTGAGCGCTGAATATTCCTGACGCAGAGTCTCAAGGCAGATCAGCCCAGCAAACCACCGGGAGGTTGAAGTCGCCTATCACCAAACACTTGTTTGCGGACTGGGAGCGAATAAAGCCAAGTACCTCTTTGGATACGCTCCCAAGGTTTATATACACAATTACAACTGCAATCTGGGCCGAGGATGTGCTAATCCTAGCCGACAGAGCTTCAACAGTTTTGTCTGCCGACTGAAAGAAGCAGTTCTTCCAAAGGTCAAGTTTACAGCGCACATAAAAGCGATGCCTCCTCTCTGTCGGCCAGCGGAGCGATCGCATCTAAGTAGTGCGTAGCCAGATAGATGTACTTCACCATCCGTGATGTCCTGAGACAGCCACGTTTCAGTGAATCCGAGTATATCGGAATGAGACCCATCTGCAAGCAGATCTGACTCGTGCACCTTATTCCTTAGGCTGCGCACATTACTTAGTACTATCTGAATGTATTCGTTAGGTCCATACCTGGGTTGTGTGCTACCAGAATGGGCATTGGTAGGGTGGAGAAGGACCGCCGGCTGACCACTCGAAAGCCCACTAACCGGACACCTTGTTCACCGGCCGCTCGTCTGCTTTTGTGGTCCTTGATGGCCTCCCTTAGCTTCAGCCTATCGACTAGCGGAAGGTCCGGCTGAACACCAATATTAGTACCTTTCAGCTTGAAAGCAAACCGCATGAGAGCGTTGCGTTCCTCCGGAGTAGGGAGTACCACACGAAGTAGCCGCAGTCGAGGGTTTGGTGCATTAACAGGGACATTCCCCAGTCTAATCAGCTTCCTGACAGTAACGCCTGGAAAACCAGGCGGAAGAATGTTCGTTACGCACATGTTAAACCATTGAAGGTCGTCCGACATGCGATCAGCAGAAAGGACAACAATGGACAGTCGCGTTAGGGAATATAACGCTACTATCCGTGAAAGAATCACCAAGACGGGGTGTATTAACCCCATGTGTCTTTGATTGGACACTTGGAGCAGATGGTTTCACCACTGGGGGTCCATCACCGAACCAACTGCTTCACTGCCTGGGGTAATTTGCCCACCTACACATCCCAACCTTTAGCTTTTCAACGAACCACACGCTGCTACCCATCTGTGCTCCGAGGATCCACACCTTGCTTCCCCAACTACCAACCTTAGCGCTCCACCTCTCTAAACCAAAAAACGGTTCACTGCAGGTTATCTGTTGACCAGCAACCTTCTGACTACTTCCGCTCTCCTCACTCAAACGAGCCTCGCCTGTATCTACTCTAACGCACTGGGCCTCGTGCCTAAATTTCTGGAACTCCAATCCCGGCTTTTGTCAACGCCGGTAGACCTAATAGTCATGACGGCAGCATGGCTCTCCGAGGACATAACCGACGGTGAAATCCAACTTCTTCCCAAGTCAGTTCTGCGCTCTGACCGCGCAACCCCAGGTTGCTGTGTTGCACCGGTGTCGACACCTCCCTCAATTCCGGCATCTTAACCGACACTGCCCTCCAGTCTCCAGACAAGGTCGTACTAACCTCCAAACACTCCTACCGTCTTGGTATCATTTATCGCCCCCTAACAACCTCCACCCCGAGGACGCACGACTACTGAACGACGTCCACCTTATGTTATCCCACAAACACTTATTATGAGAGATTTCAGCCTGCTTCGTCTATTCCATTCTGTCCCGTCCACTGACTCCTTTGCATCATGCCTCATTGATCTTCTTCACACGGCCTCGTTGTACAACCATACCCATCAGATGACGATATTCCGATCCAACAACCAACCCTTCCCTAACGAAGAACTGATGGTTGAGCACGTCTAGTATGAGGCCTCTGGGTTTCATCGACTACTGCGTCCTCCGTTTCGTTTTTGTACGCTTCGCCGACAAACTCGTCAGCACGCTAACTTATACCAAACGCTGGACTGATTACGGAAAGTTGAACGTTCTCCTTTCCGCTAACAACTGGTTGGCCCGTAGCCTAGAGATAACGAGCTTATCTGGTAATCTTGTGGCCCGGGTTCAAATCCACGTAGGGGTGGGCGTCCTCGCGGTATACTCAGCCCGTGTGCAACTGATGGTGGTCGCACAGCAGCGAAACGCCCTTACAGCGTACAGCTGAACATCATCTTCCAAACAACGAGACCACGTTCCTTAGTCGCTGAGGCTTTAACATCCAAAGTGTTAAACTGGCTGACAATATGTTTCCATGCGCTAGCCGGTGCCTGGTTTGCCAGAAAGGTCCAGTTGATTGTTTCACTTCGTTAAGCTTATATATCAGCGTATATACGTTCGCGTTGCGTCTGCCATTTCCACGGGATATTTTACATAGCAGATGTATTCGAAGAGTAGGACTGCATGATAGCTGCGCCCCGCTGGGACCTCGACGATTACTCATTTGACCATCAGTTCTTCGTTGATGAACATCTGATCCAGTAACAACGATTTGGCTTTTTCTCGGAACTGTATGAGAGTGTTTATTTGGCCATACAACAGGGAACTGGAGATAAACTTTCGTAGGTACGTCTTACACTGCTCTTCCGGTGCGGCTTGGGATTCCAGAGTGTGGATGTTAAAATCGCCAGTACTAAGGATGTGACTATAGTTCTTGTTTGTCACCCACAGTTCGGATGCTAGAAAGTAGTCCATCTCAGACGTTTAGGAGGGAGGGCGGTAAACGACCGCTACCAAGCAGGTGTCATTGCTTTTCAAGCCTAGACGGCACCAAAGGGAATCCTATACCGTAGCGACCGGATCCCCTATGGACTCACAGTGGAAATCACTGCGAACCTGCAGAGCAACCCCTCCAACTTTGCTATATCCATCGTGCCAAACAACGGACAAGCCCGGCAGCGCGATCTCGATGTCACTTATGTCGGAGCATAATCATGTCTCTGTTAAAGCGATGAGGTCACAGGCCTTTGATCCTTGACACAGTCGCAATAAGGAAAACCTACTCAACAAGCCTTGAGCGTTATTATAAATACAGAAAGCTTGCATGTCGAAAGCCCTTGTCTAGGGGTATGTGGAGGATGTGGATTTGTGCCGACTGATGAGAGGCCGGCATCTAATCATTTGATGACTTTCTTGCCAAATCTCGGTGCGAATGCAATCTGATTTTGGTCTCACTTGCATCTGTGATATGTAGTTCATCGGTAGCTTTCTCGATAGTTGCGGATCGGTGTGCACAGTTTTCTGAACGACTGCTGTAGTTATATTGAGTCGCAAGTGCTGTCATTTCCGCGTGGACAGCGAGTGGCTGCGATTCTCTGATTGCTGTCTTCAGTCGTAGTCCCGAAGTAAGCATGCATCGCTATGCGTCAGTCTAACCAGTGGTGTTTGCATAGTCACTGCTTTCGACCCAAAGAAAGCAATGTTGTCCGCATATTCCAGGTTCGTCAGTCAGTCGCCTGGCGGAACGTCCGTTCCAGTAGTATGGAAACTCAAGAGTCTCCCGTAGTTCCAGACACGGCTTCAGGTGCCTTTGATCAAGACTCACGATTAAGAGAAGGGTTTGCAGAGGCACCCGCTGCTTACACAATTCGGTTGCATTAACATGGCTACAATGTAGCCCGAACATCGCCTAGTCTCCTTGCTCCTCATTTCTTGCTAACAAACTGGTAATTTTCTTCTTTGTATGCAATATGTCCAACCCGATTTGCAACACATCCAAAGTAGCTTGCAGAACTTCTAAGTTAAAATGAAATTGGTATATATATATATATATATATATGTATATATATATATATATATATATATATATATATATATTCAAGCCAACTACTATGCGGTTGATTTTGAAAGACCACCCTTGCGAAACCTTTTCATTTGCCACTGGTTCTCTTTCTTTATCGTCACCCATCCAATTACCGAATCACCTACCACCCTCCGTTTAGTTCCCCGGCATTCTGTCTTACTGCATCAGCAAGGCTGCTTTGGACCAATTCACGAAGTGCTGTGCTTTGGGTGAGTTTTCACATTTCTGCTGACCAATTAACTGGCATGTGGTTATATAAAAACTCTGTCCGGCTGTTTTTTCCATCCAAGCTACAACTGTTGTATTGGTTTTCATCGTTGCGATTGTGCCCACCTACCGTTCTGTCTCCCATATCTTATACATTTCGAGAAACATTTGTTCACCTATTCGCAATGCCTCACTTTGTGACGTAGTCTGGCCCAAGTACCTTAAGAGACCGCAACATTCCGGCTTGTGTTTATTCCTCCCCTGTTTTTCATCCCTTGCTACTCGTTAATTGCTGTGCCCTCCCTCCGCCCCGGTTCCAAAGTCTTAGCATCTGTTGCTCTCTCCTACTTGTCTGATTGACGATCAGGCGTATTTTACAGACACGGCCATGTTGCTCCATTTCACCACCGACTCTAGTATCCTCCTAAATGATTCCTCCACCATCATGGGGCTACTGTCCATGCCATCTACACCGCATCGCAGCGCACACGACTAGTGCTGACAGTTAGGTTTGTGACAGTGCTAGAAAGTCACCTAATTCATCTGCTGCGGAGCAAGCGAGGCACACACTTAGATGTAACGTAGACTGTCTACTACTATCGTCTTCATCCATTTCTACAGCTTACGCATTGTGCCCACAGCGAAGTCAATCAGGCAGTTACCTTGGAAGGGAAAATGTACCCTCCTCAAGTTTATAGGTTGTGTTCGTTTAACACACTTCTCAACCAATCTTCGAACTGCCATTGTTACTAGTTCATGGGCTCTGCTTGTTGTCGGACATTGCCACTGAATCTACACAACCAGTGTCAACTCATCATTGGAGGGTGTAAAAGAGTTTTGGACACACAGCGTCACTCCTCTTGCTCCGCAAAGTTGGCTTGTATTTCCAGGCTTTTACTGCTTGTACTCCCATTCTCTATTCTCAACAGTTATTACACCACACTGATCTGACACAGTGCCCCATTTTGATCACAAATTTGTGCGCGCATCGGTACGCGTTTTCGTCAACAGACGACATTTTCACCGTGATTGCGCCATTTCTCGGTGTTATCTCGGAATGTATCATAGTGTTACCCTGCGGAACCTAAAGATACATGTAACGAGTTCTTTCCCCGGAGGAAAAGCTAGTCTGGACTGTGGAATGGACACCGTCCTGTTCGTTCATCATCTCGAGGCGAGCCAACTTAGCATTGACAGACTGATAAAAGGGATTCCACTCCTCGGTATCCACCCTTCACACTCAAGCTATTGTAGGCTGTTGAGGAACTACCAGTTACTTTCTGACGTTTTTGACCTTACTGACGACAAACTAGAGATCATGATTAATTCAGTTGCCTTGGCAGCTACAAGCATTTGATTGCTTAAGTTGATACGCGTATTATAAATGCTGTGGCTGATTTCAGGGATCTGTGATGCTTTGGCATTAGAAAAGAATTTCCCTGTCTTGAAGATTGTGCATTCCAAACTACGGTGAGGATTGCTCGCTTTCACAGCAATAAACATTAGCCTCTTCGATCTGATTATCAAGGGTACCTTCAGCTCTCTGACCATCATTGTTAACGGAGCGTTGTTCGTGCCCGTTGGCAGACTAGTATTAGTCGCATGCGAGCGTTGGCGGCTGAGGCAGGTCAATATTTTGAGTGAACAGATAAAACGGGATACGTTACTTTGACTTTGACAGATAAACCATCTACTACTCTTTGGGAGTCCTTTATATTGTTTACTGGATCTAGTATGTTACTAGGCACCCGTGGAATAATCGTCGATCCAGCGTCGGAAAATGAGCTTAATGTCCATCGGGTTGAGTGCTGTTGTTCTGTCTCAGCTTTCAGACTGCGGCACGCGCGACCCACCATGTGCTTGGCTCGATACATCCGCAGGTATGGCCGGCAAGCGACGTACGTGGCAAGCTTTTTTCACTGTACGCGGCCAGATACTGAACAACAACTTAGTTTTTACATCATGTCCAACCTCCTCCTTATTATTTATCATTTGTATTCTCCTACCTGTTACATCGCCTGGAAGGATCGGTTCAAATTGCTGGCGCACTGCTTTTGTTGACGATTGTGGCCAGTGTCCCTGGCTTGCTAATTTCTGAATGTCCCTAATTTACATTGGCTCGTCTTTTTCCTACCTTTTAACTGAAATCACACTGCTATCACACACATTATATTCTTACTGTCTGCTTTTACGCGGATAACCAGTTTCGAAAATTCGCACCTTGACTTTCTAATTGAAAATGAAACGTCTGCCTACGATTTCGGTGGATCCATTTTGGTTACCAAAGCTGTTTCTGGATAAGCCTGGTCATGCGCTATTTATTCTCAAATGCCTATTGATACGAACATTGCTCCACGCCAACAGCGTTCTCACTTTGGAAGGATCTGGTTCCTCACAGAATCATCTGTGACTCGGGATCTATAGGTTTGCCAGGGTAGTATTACGATCCGAGGTGAGAGAGTCTTTGCTAACGGATGCGTGCTCATTGCGATCATGTCATGTGGGAGGTGAGGCGAACTTGACCTGTCCCGGCATTACGTAGTAACTTTTTTCAAACCATCATCTGCATCATCCTGCCGTATCCGACTGGTGGGTTTAAACCCATCTCGTTCTGAGTTAAAGCGGTTTCGGTCCCTCAGCACACCGCTGTTGTTGTGATGGTGTTTTCAATCACACCAGTCGCATGTACAACTTGCAGATTGGAAGTGTGTGATCATTATGATTGCTCATCGACCTGCATCTCCACAAACAATCAATCAGAAACATGTCAACTGAGCTTGTATAGACCCGTGACTGATGATTTGTTAAAACGAATCTACAAGGTTACATACACCGGTTGGGTCATCACCCTACAAAATTTTATTTGGTTCGATTTCAACATTGCTGATTACCTCCGTTCTGCTAGCTTCGGTTATGTCAAACACGCGTTCCAACTAACAGATGTAAACAGCACCTCGGAACTAGGGGTCAGGACAGTTCCAATGAGCTAACCGAATCATTCACACTTCTATCGAGTCATACTTTTCTAACTGTGGAACAGAAAGCAAATAAAGGTACTTGGTCATTTGCCGTCAGACCTTTGGAACCACATACGAAATGGAAACTGGGGCATGCTTCACTTGAGTGGACTATTTCAAGACAAACGGTCCACTTGTACTGAGCCGCACTTCACATACCCATCGGTTGGTATTCGCACCACGAGCATTTGCCCCCCCTCCCCGTCAGTGGCACCGTTTTTCCCACTCGTCATGGTCCACGACAGTTGTGAAGACATCACAGACTTTTTACTAGGTTTCTGTTGTATTCGCTGTGTGATTGTGCTGCGATACGCAATCTTTGTTTCATAGTAAACCTTGGTCATTTCACTCACTAGACCCATGTCTCAATGCACTGCTGCTCCCAATGTTGTACTCCTCAACCGGTTGGAGCTACTCAAATGAATCCGACAGTGAATTCCTGGCCATTGTAACGGTGTTGCTGGGTGCATCAAACAACCGGTTTTTAAGGCATCTGAGGACAATTTCTACATCCAGTATGCCGGCCCAGACTCCTGCATCTGAAGAGACCGAACTAAGGTATATTTTATGTAAATTCGCCACCCTTATTATAATTTCGAGAAGCTAGCGAGTTACAGCGCCAGGGGTACATGCACAAAGTTATCAATTAAATATAGTTGTCACTGTTTTCGGTGGTGCGTATTTCGTCCACATGGTGCCAGTGTGTATCGAACAACTGGCTTGGACTGTAGGTTGTGGCTCTATTGTACGGTGGAAACTTCTACATGGATTAAGTTGGAATGCGGCCTGATGTCCACACATTATCCTTATCTGTAATGTGCGCCGTGTATGATTACAGGGAACTCTTCGGGTTATTCACTTGTATATATAGCTCCTCTTGCTGTTAGCTCATCTACTCACAAATGGAGTCAATCACTCAAGTGGTGGAGCCTTCAACTTTAATCGTGCTACGGATTTACTAACACATGCTTCCCTGTACTGTCAGGAAATCGTAATTAGTTCTGTAACCAACGAGTACTTGCTACTGGACCCACCACATTTCGGCAACCGGACCATAGTTGTTCAATTGAAGTGAACTGAGCTTATCTAATGGCTATTTTGAAAGTTCTCTATGATGTAACTTATTGTTGTTGAGACCTAAATCTTCACGCCCGGACCGTAATTTCTATGGTGTCGCGAATGGTATTTTTCGACCCTTTTTATTCTGCGACATCCCCACTTGTTACTCTGTCACCTGGGCTTCTAACACCAGCGGAACATACAGTCTACTCTATTTGTCTTGCTAACAATGTTCAATTATTTCGTCCTTGTTTTAGAACTCGCTTCCAAAGGAATTCGCGTCAACAGCGTAAAGTACGTGTATACCCCACATCATTCCCATTGAATTTTTCGTCGGTCTTACTTCTGTTTTCACATAAAAACATAAGTGAAATCTTGGTCTATCAACGTTACTTCGACTCTCATCTGAAAATCGACTCTGTATTCCACCATGCTATCACTTATTCCACCTGTTCGTCATTTTAAATGGCATTTAGTACGGAATCGTCTCTGGACATGCATTACTTCACTTTCACCATTGTACCTCTTACGGTTTCCGACGCAGTCTAGTCATCTTGGCTGATGCTATCGGTAGAACGGAAGCTGTTATTCAGTTTATCTCCGTATGTCGGCCCTGCCCTAAACATCGATGTGCAGTGGAGCGAGTCACTAACTCCCAGCTCACGGAATAAGATCATTTATGAAGTATTATGACATAGAGAAGCTAGAAATTCACCACTGAGGTGAAACTAGTACCCGGGCTTTCAAACTAGAACCGGCAGTTGGAAGCAAGCTGATGAACGAAAACCACCACTATCTCCTGAGCTCCACCTCCTCAGGCACATTTTAAAGCTTCCGATGGCGGCCATTCGCTAAGACGACTGCACCATTGCGACTCCATCTTCTTCACGGGCCTTGTGTGCCTTTGTTTATCGTCTTATTAGGTGCAGTTCTGGTAACCAGCACAAGCGGAGGTGAATGACGCGTGGCCGGATCAGTATACTCGATGTAGGTGTATCAGGCCGTCCAATTCAAAGCCACACGGCTTGTTGCCTACCTCCAGTTTGCATGCATATATTTCACTCCGCTGAGGTATCTATGATGTTGCGTAGGCACCGGTGCTCATATGCGAAATCAACTGATGTAGTTCTCGGTCACATCACCACTAGAGGCGTTACGCCCAACCTAGACACCCCAATCGTCTGATCAGTACTGTTCTAGGCAGCACTCCGACAGTTTATTGCTCTCTGCACTTTCAAGGAATATGCTGGATTGTGTCAGCACTGCGTTAATTTCTTCAGTGCAGATTGTCTATTAATTTCGCTAATTCCATTATAGCATTATATCTTACTGTCATTTGGTTTCCCTGTGGCTTGCATTGAGATAGACACTAATCGGTACTTTTGAGACAGACTGTATTTAAAGTAAGTAGAAAAGTTTCTGTACACCTCTCGGTTTATGAAAATTCAAAAACATTTAATTGCCGATTTTCTGCGGTAGTGTTTGGTCAGTTAATCGTTCGCTTATGAATTCGTATTGGTGTCATTATTTCCGGGGATAGGATGTATTTTTTGCATTGTATGTGCACTGTTTCACAAAAGCATTCGTTTCCAAAATAATCACCGATACGTGTTTTAAAACACTTCACAGAATCGGCCTCTATTAGTCCTTCTGGCAGGGTATTCCATAAGTTTACGATCCTTCCTTCTATACACAGTTGATGTGACACCCTATACCTGCATGGAACTCCGAGTTCGTAGCGGCGTCCTCGAGTGTTACCGAGTTCCCGCAGGTGTAATATTGGCCGCAATATGAGGAAGTGATTCAAGTTTGGTATTCGATGGGTCATAAAATGGTCAATTCTTACTCGGCGGTAGGATAGTGTGTAGTGTCCGATCCTTTCACAACGTTTTTCATATGGAAGCTTTCGTAGACTGTGTAGCATTCTAGTTGCGAGCTGCTGTATTTTCCCCAGCTATTCAGTTTCCCATTGGCTTATCGGATAGTAAGCTTGGGCGCCGTATTCAAGCATTAGTCTGATGAGCGAGGTAAATATGCCATCGACGGTTTCTTCAGACCATGTGGAGAAACTGCGTCGTGATGCCCAGAGCACACAAGGTCCCGCACGGCACAATTTCTCTGCATTTTCTAGTGGTCTCATATCACATCGCCAGAACACTCCTAAGTCTGACAGATATGTTCGGGTGGAGCAGCTCGCCGTCCAAGGTGTATGATCGAGTGGCTGGAGGTCTGATGATACTGATGAACTCCGACTCGCTTGCTTTAAGAGGGCGTTGCATTTCAGTGGACCACGTTGACATTCGCTCTAAGTCATGCTGGAGGCGAACGCAATCGTCCTGGTTCTTATTGATCCTCTAGATTTTCAAGTCATCTGCAAACAGGGCACATGGTGACTGGAGCTGCTGCGCGAGATTGTTGATTTGAATAAGAAATAATACTGGACCAAATACAGCTCTTTGAGGCACGCCACTGGTCGATGGGAACCAGTCTGTCAAGTAGTTGTTGACCTGTACACTTCCGTCCCACAAGAAACTCGTGTAACCACAGAACTAACGTTCCACCGATTCTGTAGGTTCTCAGTTTATTAAGGAGTACCTCGTATTTCACTCTGTCAGATGTACACCACCTCAACATCCCTCCGTTCGTTGAGAGCTCGTACCCACTGGTGGTTTGCGCACATCAAGTTGGTGATGCAGGACCGCCCTTTCGTGAGGTCGCGTTGCACTGACGTCAATACGTCCATCGATTCGAAGAACGACAGCAGACACTATCTTCTCGAGAACTTTGGATGAGATCGAAGTCAAACAGATCGGTCTATAGTTCTTTACTTCACTCGGATCACTGCCCTTGGGAAGCGGTCTCACTATCGAGCATTTCCAGTTGTTTCCGACAGATTCTTCAGTGAGTTATTTATTGAATAGGTTTGTCACAGCTGGTGAGATGACATTCGATAGGGACTTAAGTATTAGTGGGTGAAGTACGTCTGGTCCGGGGGGCTTTGCACCATCGAGGTTGATGAGTAGCTGGTACACTTCGACTGCATCACAATGTCGGCTGTCGAGCAAGACTGACGCAACCTATGTCAGTACTGCTACAGTCGCCGGTTTACTGGAAAATACGGTGAGGAAGTGCGTATCCAATGCGTTTGCGTGCTCCTCGTTTGATATAGGCGTCTGTCTGTTCAAACTCTCTAAAACCGGTAGGTCGCCCGCAGGTTTCAGTCGACGTTTCAAGTAGGCAAATATTCTATTAGGGGCAGTTGTAATTGAGGCTATTAGCTCTTTGAACTGCCGGCGTTTCTTAATATCTGCGGCGTTACATATGTTACGCTGTTTCTTGTACACCGTTTATTCTTCCTCACAACGCGAGATGATGTATCTATCCAAACGTTTGCGACGCCATCGCGCTAATTGTTTATATTCCGTATCAAACCAATGCGGTTTGACAGCTCCGACATTTGAATACTTCAGGGGAACGAACTGAGTACAGGGCGAGTTTAGCTTCTCCTTCATTAATGACCAACAAGGCTCAAGCGACGCATCGTGTAGTAGTGTCCAATCAGTCTGACTTGCTGTTTGGACGAGCCCGTTGAAGTCCGTCTCCCATAGTTGAATCTCGGCTTCCGTTGGTTATAATACCGTAACGACACTTCCATGCTTGCCACAGTGGAGCAGTGGTCACTGTTTGTCAGAGGATCGAGGACTCTTACCTCTTTCAGATTCTGTTTGCAGCTCGTTAACATTAGGTCCAGACAAAATACAGGTGCGGAGTTATGCGCGTCGCTTGGACGACATGTTGCGTTGTCCCAATTTCAATGGTCATTTTAGCGAATTTGACCTCAACGTCGCAATAACCGGGAAGTAGCTGAACATCGGACTAGAATATCTGGTAACTTTAGACCCACCATCAGTAAGAATTGAGGGTGGTTCATGTGCTTCTATGTATTTGGCAGCCAATCGCAACAACGGTTTAATAGGCTAGGGTAGATAACAGCCACTATTATTTCTGCGCGTCTGAGGCGGTTTGAGCACCACAGTTGCTCGCATAACTTATCCTCGCTCCCCTAGGTGCTGATTAGTTTGCCAGATAGTGACGATTTGATGTACAACAGAACACCACCTTGGACCTTTGATTTTCGGTCACATCAGAAGCAAGAGGAGCCTAACAAGGCGGCTTCTTGAGGTATGACGTCGGTGTCCAACCAAGTCTCTGCATGTCCTAATACGCCCGGCAGCTCCGAGACAGCGAAGCGACACAGTTCATTAGGCTGTACACGACGAATGCCACACGGTGGTCCTGGGAGGTACTGCGGGACGTGCCTGAAGGTTGAGCAACCGGTTGATACGGGTTCGTACACCCTTCTCGATCACCCGAAAATTCACAATCTGTAAGTCAGTCTCACCTTCTTCAGTACGGCGTTTGCGCTCAATGACCACAGTCTTCAAACGATCCCTGTCTTCGGTTCCAAGTCTCGGCGGATGTGAACCTTTATGTCTTTCAGTCTTGGTAGACGAGTATGAGCTACGGCATATTGTGATTTGCAAAGGTGATTCTCAGAGGTCGACATGACTGGTTAGTTTTCTGGTCAAGTCGAGCTACTTGTTTAATCGTCACGCTGTCTTCACTCACGTCTAAAAGTCTATCGATGAGCCCTTGGAGAAACTTAACATCATAATCATAACGTATCTGAGGGTTTTCATCTTATGACACTGTGCTTGGAAGACCATGAGATTATGACGCCTCAACAAAATCGCTGATAAACCTGCGGGAGTAAGATTAGAGGCGCTTATCCTTTTGGGTCGTTGTTTACCAGTAGGGGACGCCTGAAATCGGTTACATGGCCCCTTGTGCTTTTGAACGGTCCATTGATTTTCGGTGTTCAGAGGTTCACAGACAGGCTCTGAGAAATCCACCGACAGATCAGTGAAGCGGCATTACGGAGGTTCCGACTCTGAGTCTTGTATCCGTGGGGAACATTGAACCAGGGTCGAAGACGCTGGTGGTGGTGCAGATCGCGGAGTGGCAAGGGAAGGCAAGGTGACAGACGTACTTTCACGAGGGCGTTTGACGCCATGTGCTGAACGGTTTGTTTCCAACTTTAATAGAGGTTTTCCTGAAGTCGTTGGCGGTCGCTGTGTATTCTGATGTCCTGAACCGCGATATTAATATAACTTGACAAAACCGATGTCGGATATCGAGAGATTTTCGAAACACGTCAACGGATAAGCCAATGCACAAAATATATGGAAACACCGAAGTACATGCGCCTTATGTCCAACAACTTTCGAACACGA